ACATTGCAACCTACCTGCAAATTTTTGAAAGACAATGTGAGAAAGTTAATATAAAACAAATAGATTACATCACTCATCTCCTACCTCTTCTTCTGCCTATAGACATTTCGCAAATTATTTTAAGAGAACCAAAAGACAAATTAGAAGATTATTCTTACATCAAGAAGATTCTGCTACAAAGATTCAAATTAAATGCTGAATCATTTCGAATTAAACTTACTACACACCAAAAACACCCTGGGTCCTTTATGGAAAGATTTTACTTACGAATTAAACAATTATCTCGAAGAGTGGCTTCCATAGTCTCGATGTTACAGACTTTGAATCACTCAAAGACTTGGTCCTGACGGATCAGCTTAAAAGAAGAGTCAGTAGTGACGTTAAGGAGCATTTTATTGATACTTGGGGAAAAATAAAGAGTTCATCTGAATTAGTACAGAAATTGGATGATTATGAAGCTGTACGTGTTAAAAATACGAACTATAAAACTCAACTTCCTGGCAGGCGGAACTATTCTTACAAACCGACTAATCCATCCAAACACAAAGTAGAAAATCGAACAAGTGACATACAGGGAACTCATAAAACCTTTTCAAATCGTGGTTCAGCAACAAACAGAGGAAAAGCGACCTCCTTTAACATGCTATGGGTGCGGAAAAACTGGTTTTATCAAGTCTAAATGTCCAGACTGTAACCCCCCAAAGACTTCAAATTCATCAAATTTTGGCACTATCCAAATCCGATCCTGTTTATCTTCCACTCGGACTGCTGTATTTCCAATTAGTATTGGTGGTGTTTCCGGTACAGCTTTCGCCGACACTGGTGCTAGTCACTCAATTGCAAGTGAATCCCTCTATCATATTCTGCAGAAAACAAGATGCAGTATTTGAAAAGACAACACTAGAGGTGTCTTTCGCTGATGGTTTGGTATCTGAAAAAGAGGTACTTCGCACCGAACAAATCATTCTTCTCGAAGGCAGAGAGTTCAAAACTCCGCTCCTTGTGTTGCCTGATGCCAAAAATAACTCGACTCTGTTAGGAACTGACTTTCTTCAAAAAGCTAAAATTGTTTTAAATCTTGCTGAAAATAAGTGGAACTTTTCTGATGAACCTCGAAGAAAATATAGCTTCGTGAAACCTCATCAATCCCAAGTACTGGAAGAAACCCCAGTTGTTGTAAACAACTGCCAACTACGAGAAAATGAAGAAGACAACAATTAACTACAGCCCAACGGCTTGCAACTGATGCATTGCTTAACAAATATCACACTGTCTTCAAAGTAGGGGGAGAAACCACTAATCAAAAGCCATCTGGCTTACTTCAAATTCCAGTCTATATGCTCAACGTTTTGAAGACCTTGTCATTGATCTTTTCGGTCCCCTTCCTGAAACACCGTCTGGTGAAAAATGGATTTTTATTGTGCAGGACTGTGCTACGAAGTGGACAGAACTATTTGCTTTAAAGGAAGCCACGGCCAGAGAATGTGCCACTATTCTTTTGGAGGAAGTCGCCCTTCGATTTGGGTTACCCAGGAAAATAATAAGTGATAATGGTACCCAGTTTACTAGTGCTTGTTATGCAACAACTATGCTATATCTTGAACATTGATCAAAGTCTTACTCCTGTCTATCACCCACAATCTAACCCAGTTGAAAGGAAGAATAGAGATCTGAAACCACGTTTAGCAATACTTGTTGGTAACGACCATCAGTCAGGAAGGATAAACTGCCATTAATAAGGTTTGCTTTGAATACAGCCAAATGTGATTCAACTGGACATTCTGCTTCTTTTCTTCAATTTGCACGAGAGTTACGAACCTTAGATGATGTAAAGCATGATATAAAAGCCGTAATTGAGAACGATAATTTTGTTCCTGAAATTACTCCATATTTGAAACGTTTTGCAAGAAATGTACAACAGGTACGAGAAAGAGTCGAAATTACATCAAGATAAGCAGAAACGATATGCTGGTACAAAAACGAAGAGAAACACCGAAAATCGTTCCTGGAGATAAAGTTTGGGTCACCCTCCACCCAATCAGCAAAAGGTCCACTGAAAGAAAACTGCTAAATTCATGTCCCAAGAGAGATGGTCCTTATGTGATAGTAACTACAAGATCTCCAACCACTTATGATATTGCCGATCCTCATGAACCAGACAAAATTCTCGGCAAGTATCATGTTTCAGCCTTGAAACCATATCAAGATCGAAATAAGCAAAACTCAGCTCGTGTAATTCCAGTGGTTCCCTTAAAGAAAAGAGGACGCCCTAAACGTGTAATACCATCCGAATCTGCACCTGTTGCACAAGGTGCTGGTGACGCAAAATCTACTCCTCGTCAAACTGGAGCCCGTCCATCTGATTCTCCGCCCGCTGCACTAAGTAGACAAATGTCAGTTCCTGACTTCTTGCTGAGACGTCTACGAAGTCAGAGGGGGAGGATGTAACAGACCTATTTAAGTGTAATTGAACTATTTTATTCACGCCATGAACTCATGAACTGTAACCGAACTATTTTATTTAAAACGCCATCTCGTGGCGATATGAAAAAACGTCAGTCGACCTCCAGCCGCCATGATGATAGTTTACTATGTTATGTTATTCAAATGTTTGATGTTCCATTTGGTATATGTTTCATTTTTATGTATATTTCTTTTGTTTGTAACTGTTCCTGTGTGCTCTGTTAATAAATCCTTTTAAAGCTAGCCGGCATTAGTGTCTATTGAGGAACGGCTACATCACAAACGTATTAAAAAATATCTAAGATCATCGGTGAGCCAGGAGCGTTTACCAAGTCTCGCGATTCTGGAAACTGAAAATCAAATCGCAGATCAAATTATGACAATTCCATGCATTTATTTGCAGAACGAAAGGCTTACAGAGTGAAATTTTAATTTTCGTTACTGATTCCGTGATATTAATAGCGTTAAAACAGGTAAGAACTTAAAATTACTTATGAAATATGAAGTATGAAAAAGAAGACAGGAAGTACGAATACTAAGAGTGATAGCCCATATTCTGTATAATATTTTCAGAAATTTTCCTTTCCGCAATAGCCCATATTTTGTATGCAATGGCCCCATTAGTGGCTAAGCAATAAAAGCCGCTGAGCACTAGTAGTTCGGTCCGAGAGTCAAGTATATAAATGGTGAAACACATAGTAAATAATCAGACAAATGTCCTCAGTAGTGGCCGAATGATTAAGACCGCTGGAATGCTGGTAGTTCGACCTTGCCTGTGTTGAAACCCAGGCGAACGGACTGGGCTGTGTGGTTTGTTTTCGTGGATTTCCTCATGTGTAACGTGAATACGAGCCAGTTTCCTTTAAAAAGTTCCTTTACGAAAGCATCTCTTCTCTACGCAGATAGCCATCCTGTCTTTCTCATATTCATATAATCTAACCTAACGTAATTTAACCAGTATGCAATACACGGAATAGTGAGAAGCTTAGGAGATGCCCGTTCCCCCTAGAGCGGAAAAACGAATGGTTTCGAGGACTGGAGAGTTAGAAGCATTTCAGGATTAGAGTTAAGATTAGGATTGAATCCAAAATTAAGCTCACCAGAGTTTAAGAGGATTGAATCCAAATTAAATCCGTGAAAGTCCAGAAAATCGATTCTCCTAAGAGGGGACGATTTTCTAATTATGTCACTTTGGTACGTATTTTTCCTTTATAACAAAAACAATAACAACAAAAAAAAAAGCACGTAAGGAATTTAGTATAAAATGGAGCTTAGATTTTTACTTCAAATCCTGCCTATTTCATATTTATTAAAAAAATTAAAACTTGTTAGAGAAACTTAAAAGATGATGGGTGAGGGCGGCAGTTTTAGCTTTGGCCCCACATCAGAAAAATCAAAGATCCGGCGCTGTGTTGGTTATTATATTATTCTTCAAAGCCTTTTGATTCTCAAGCAAATCCTCAAGAAACTGAAGCGCAGAACTTGGCAAGCGAACCCAAATACGTCATCAGTCTCCCTGAAGAACTAGCCCTGGGTAGAGCTACTAGATATACAGGCTGACTCGTCAGCCATTTTGAATCTAAGCTTTAGGGTTGCAATTTAGGTGTGGAGCGGCAACTTTGGCTCTTTAGCGCTGTCCGCTAAAATTTAACATTCTAGAGAATCCGAATTTCAGCTTTTTTCTGCACTCCTATAAAGATGTGTGGTTTTTTCCCCTTCTTTTGTCTGCAGTTCAGATTCTTTCTCGTATTTTTTTTTTTAATTGCCAAATTTCTCGTATGATTCAAGTTATTTTAAAAGTTTCTAAAACATTTTCACATATCATATTTCAAATTTGTATTTTTAGTTAAAAATGCTTTCTTTTTGAATTCCTTTATTGAATTTTCAATTTTTTCTTTTAAATACACGCATAATGTTATTTATCTCAAAATGTATTTTTTGACAAGAGCTTTCCCTCAACCACATTCTTAATATGGTTGAGGGAAATCCCTCAACCTCCATTAATTTAGGATAAGGTTTAATCTTTAATTTTTTTTTTTTATTTTTAATATGTTATTTGAATTTTGCTCACATGGAATCAAACGTCTATTACTGTAGCAAATTTGTGAAAAAAATGTTATTTTGTGTGTGTTTCCAGAAAAAGCTGCTAAACACTTTATGATTTTAAATACTGATTCAAGATATACACCTTTAAATTATAATGCTTTTAGAATGAAGTGCAGAATGCTATAAAAATTACTTCAATGCTCAGATGACTGTGGGATTCATAGATTTAATAGAGTAAAAAATTCCATTAATTTTTTTTTTTTTTTTTTCTTCTTCTTCTTTAAAATAATACACACACAAATAAATAAAAATAAAAATAATACCTTTACATACAGAATTTACAGATACTATTTACTTATAAGTTTATTTGTTGTTGATGGTTACTTTTTATTATACTTGGAAAAATTATAGTTACATACATATGCTCTTAATATTACACGTACTTTATAGTAGCCTTAGCCCTGGGTCTGATTACAACAGTTTAAAAAGGAATTTTGGTTGGAACAAATCTGGCAACGGTTATGCATTGTTTATATTAAAAAAGTTTTGCAAACTTAACCAGGTGTATGACTATGTTAGCAATTTCTTTGCGGACCGATTTCTTTAAAATAGTATGTTTTAAGCAGTATAATTATCCTTTAAGAATTGCGTCATATGGACGGCGAAATGGAATTTCCAATTTCTCTACGTGCAACTCTTTACAGACTGGAACACCACCAGAAAATGAAGACAAACCACCTCCAAGAAAATATAAAACTCCAGTTGATTGGTTGCCTTTTGAATGGCACAGACGACCAATGTTTAATATATTTGAAAAAAGTGGTAAATATATGGATATTGTACTCTTCATACCTGTTTTATTGCGCTATAAAGACATTGTATCATGAAATGCGCAGTATAACATAGTCTCCTGCTTCTTTTACAATTGAAATTTGTTTTATATTGAAAATTGTTTTAATTAAATGGGAAAATATCGTTTGTGAATTGACAGATATTCCTTTGTAAAGGAGTTGGTAAAATCCTAGTATACGGTGCAGCCTTGGCGCGACTTTGAAAATTATCGCCAACACCAAAAATGATCCTCTCTCTCTCTATATATATATACTATACACTATATACTATGTGTGTATATACATAGCATATATACTATATACATAGTATATACTATGTTTAACTATATATTTTCTTTGAATGACCCGTTAACTACTCATCGCAATGTCCGGTTTTTACTGCTCATCATAAAGTCGCCAAAAGTAGCCAAATCCCGTGTGCACCGGATACTAGGATTAAACGAAGGAGTTTGTAATTGAAGCTTGTTCGGTAGAAAAAAATCGGGTTTTCATCCGCAGAGAACCCGTTGGCGCCGCTGCATTTTTACTCGCCAAGCTCGCGGTTCATCGGCGATGAGCCGAGCCGCAAACGTGATATTTTGTAAACGTGATTTTTAGTGCATGTAAATTCAAGTTAGCAGACAAAACAATATATTTAAGCATATGGTAGTAAAAATTCACAGATAATAAGCATGTAGATATAAAACTAACTTGTTAAGCGTGATATATGAAAATAGTATGAAATTCAAGTTAGCACAGAAAAGAATATATTAAGTATAAGACAATATATAAGCATTTATAACGGAAATAAAAATTCATTTGAAAAATATAAATTAGTATTAATGTACTGAAATTAACCTGTTAAATGTGATAAACAAAAATTTGTCTTAAATTCCAGTTAACACAGAAAACAATATATTCCATTAAACACCAGCAGTGGTTTGCTAATTTTGATGACCATGGTGATGCATCAAACTATTCTGTCATCTTAGATAATCAATAATCTTTTTATTTCAACTTTAATCATCTTTATTTATGTCACACCTGCCATCCTCTGAAAGGTTATTGTTAGAAAAGCATTAACAATAATTATCTTGTTAAAATTTTACGCCAGGAAATAGATTTATTCTCATAATTTTAGATGACAATAACCAATAATAAAAATAAAAGCATTACTTAATTATTTAAATTGCTGGTTCTTAGAGCTGTTAATAATTAAGAACACAACGTGAACAGCCGTGTTACAAATTAGCATTCACCCCTCCCGCCGTATTTTCTTCCTTTCATCCCAAACCGAGAACCGGCATCTATCTACGAAAATATTTCTATCTATTTGTTGTTAAAAAATTCAGAAAAAATAATAATATAAATCTGCAAATGCGAACAACGACAGTGATAATTCAACAAAATGAACCCAAGAGGAATGGTTGCAAACTTCGAACAAGCGAATAGGATAAATGCGTTGGGTTACCAGGTTTGAACTTTTATCGCCAAAGTTGGCGATGTTTACATTTACCGGGTTCTGTGCGGAAGTGCTTCCAAAAAATCTATTGCAGGCAACCTTTTGAACCTCACAGAATAGAACTGCAAATAACTAATTGTAAATGCTTCGTGGTTTTAGTCACGTAGCCGATAGTCAGTTTAATAGATTAGAGATCCAAATATCTAACAACTGCCAATTGTCAAACCATCTTAAGCATTTTAAATAACCCAGTTGTAAACTAGTGTTCTGGTCACTTGAAAATGATAAGAATTGTAATATTTGTGAATTCATAGAAAATCGTTTTCCTGTTAAAAACGTAACAAAAGTGCAGAATTGGCCACTGCTTGGCGCGTTTTTAAGAATTGCACATACTCGGTATCCATGTACACGTCGACCAATTTTCACTTAAAAAAAACATCCCAGAATTGCACAAAAATGGCATTGTGCACTTCCTTGACTTTATCCATGTACATATCGACCTATTTTCACTTTAAAAGTCAAAGAAAATTTACAAAAATCCAAAAGTCGGGTAGTAGTAATGGATATATGCACAAGTCAGTTACAAACTGAGTAAGGTTTAATTAGTAAAATGTTACAAACTGAGTAAAGTCAGCTACAGACCGAGTTTGTTAGTAAACACGGTTACAAACTGTGTAAGCTTTAACATTACATCACATTTTCATATAAAAGTTGCTTTTATATACAGTTCAAGACATATGTGCATATATTCTTTTTTTTTTTTTTTAAAAAAAACATGGGACATTTTGAAATTTGTTCTTAAAAAAAAAAGGGCTGTTAGTTTTGTTCTGTATTCTGGAAAGTATTTCTAATGTAAGCACACAATTTAGTTGAAATATTGCTTGGCTTTTACAAATATTACAATTAAGCGGTAACAGTTTTTTTCTGGTAATGCATAATAAATGTTCCCATATTATTTTCGATACATGTTTTTATGTTTCAGAACAAAGCATGCTTGTCTTAGCAATATTTATATGTTATGAATATTTTTCATCCTGAACTAAAAAAAATATATTTGATGAAGTTTTAATTTATAAAATTATTCTTTGAATTTTATGACGTATCACAAACATCGCTTTGGAATATGGTTTGGGATATGCCAGACAATTGATAACATCATTTAGACATAACATAAATTGGTTAATCTTTGGATTATGGTAACTTGGCGATTTTTTGGCGACCAACTCTGCTACAGCAACCCTCTATTTTTTTTTCGCCGCCATTTTGTCTTCACGAAGTAAAGACATGTTTCTTTTCTTTTTATTTACTGAACACTTTTTCCAACAATCTGCTATCCGAATTACACTTATGCTAGAAATTTTATGGAACAAAACTGCTTAATCATGACAAATATTAACTGCCAAATTGGGAAAAAGTGCAGAATCGCAAACTCCTTGCCGCGTTTTTCAGAATCGCATATACACATAAACCATGTACACGTCAACTTACTTTTACTTAAAAAAAAATCCCAGAATTGCACAAAAATGGCATTGCACACACTCTTAACTTTATCCATCTACACTGCTATTTTCTCATAAATTACAAAAATTTGCACGAAAATGCAGGAAAATTTTGTGAATCTTTAAACTCGGTAAAAAGCACATATATGAAATTACCTGATCGCGAAAAAGTATATACCCTTTCCAAGGATGAGCGTTTCCACATATGAAATAAATAAAATATCCAAAAACTTTTACCTCTAAATTATCTATTATATTATAAACGTCACCAATGAATTTATACCGCAAACGTTAAAAATGGTTAAAATACTTACTGTCAAATATTTAAATTATTTCCATGCACGTTTACTTCAACTGAAACGTATACCAAATTACTACAAACATAAAATTCACAAAAAAACTATCATTTAATTAAAATATCACTAAACCATGTACACGTCGACTTATTTTTACTTAAAAAAACATCCCAGAATTGCACAAGAATGGCATTGCGCACAATCTTCACTATATCCATGTACACTGCTTTTTTCTCATAAATTAGAAAAATTTCACGAAAATGCATGAAAATACTCAACGTATACTACTCAAACATATTCCAAAATACTACAAACATATAACTCACAAAATCACGATCATTAAATTAAAATATAATTAAATTAAAAAACGCTACTTAAAATATAAATAAGAACATACATTAAATTAATGAAAATTAGATTACAGTCCTAATTACTTTAAACTAAATCATTGCTAATAACAATTTTCAAATAATACCATTTTAATTTATTTACTCCTTGCATTTAGAACAATGCATAAAAATAATATCCTCAAATGATTAAAAATACTAACTTACCTAATCTTCTTCAGAATCTTCATTACGTCGCTGCAGTACTACTGCTAATTTCTAAATCCTAAATCCACTCGTCAACTGGAAGTCTATTCACCAAGTAATAAGAAATTAATAAAATTTCACCTATACTCAAACTACTTTCAGCAAACCACGTACCCTTCCTTACACTCCTTTTCACAAAATGTCCATTTTCACCATATTTCTTGCACCGCCATTTAAACTTGTAATATCCTTCCTTTCATACAATCTCAAATTATTATTATTATCAGATAAACGCATTAAAAATTTTGAATTCACTTTACATAGCGCCATGCAATCCGAAAATTAATCAACACTCTTTCACACAACACACAATGAACCTTTTCCAAATTAACCCCCTTTTCCGATTAAAGAACTGTAATTTGTCCATAACGTCGCGTTTCACACAACACAGAATATAGCTAAAAACGATAATTTTTTCAGAATTTTCCCCCTTTTCCGATTAAACAACTGTAATTCGTTCCATTAAATGTCACATGATATATCTCATGATCTCTCATTTCCCTCACCCAAAATAATGCGTAATCGGAACTTGGAGTACTTCTCACATTATTACCCCAAGTCCTAGGTAGTAACCTTTATCGCCTAGCAAAATGTCGCCAAACTACTTGTTACCATATTCCAAAGATCAGCCGAAATGTTTAATAAAGTAAACAAATAAATATTAAGCTTCTTTTTTTGTAAATTTTGATACCCTTTAGATCATAATTGCTCATTATTTTATAAATTACGGTTTCATATTTTAAATTTTATAATTTCTGCATGCCATCTTACCAGATTTAAACTGATGATCTATAATCCGGAATCGCCGAAGTCCCGACGAGTCCGGATTAAAGACTTTTGACTGTAGTTTAAACATTTGGTAAATTTTCTGCATTTTTAGCAAATGTTAGAGTATACATATAGCAATAACAAACCCAAACATGCAGAAGTATGTTTTATTCTTGACTGTCATTTTGCTGATTATCCATTGGCTATAAAAATGTAAGGCTAATCTTTGGAATATGGTAACAGGTAGTTTAGCGACATTTTGGTAAGGCGATAAAAGTTACTAGCTAGGACTTTAGCAGTGTATATGGATAAAGTCAAGAGTGTGCGCAATGCCATTTTTGTGCAATTCTTGGATGTTTTTTAAGTGAAAATAGGTCGACGTGTACATGCATGATACCGTGCATATGCAATTCTTAAAAACGCGGCAAGCAGTTTGCGATTCTGCACTTTCTCCCAATTTCGCACCTAATCTTCGTCATGATTAAGCATTTTTGTTCCATAGAAGTTCTAGTATAAGCGTAATTCGGCTAGCAGGTTGTTGGAAAAAAATGTTGAGTAAAAAAAAAAAAAACATGGCTTTACTTCGTGAAAACAAAATGGCGTCCAAAACAAAACTAGCAGGTTGCTGTAGCAGGGTTGATTGCCAAATTTTCACCAAAAAATCGCCAAGTTACCATAATACAAAGATTAACCAATTTTGTTTTTTGTCAGTAATGTGGTAAAAGTATATTTTAGTGTACCCCTTGGCGATTTTTGGCGGTACATGGATACCGAGTTTGTGCAATTCTTTGACTTGTTATTTTGGCTTGCATAGCAGAGATTTTTGGAGCAAAAATTGCAGCTACACAAAGTCAACAAGACAAAGAATTGCACAAACTCGGTATCCATGTACACATCGACTTATTTTCACTTTAAAAAAAATCCCAGAATTGCATAAAAATGGCATTGCACACTCTCTTGACTTTATCCATAGACCTATTTTCATTTAACAAAAATCAGAGAATTTCACAAACTAGGCTTTGCGCACTCCCCTTGACTTTGTCCATCTACACATCGAACTATATTTATTTAAAAAGTCAAAGGAGCAGCCAACAAAAAAATATATAATCTGAATAAACTACATTTTAAATCAAATAATAAAATAACATAAAAAAGGAAATTCATCTTAGCACTACACGAAAGAAATATCCACTTACCTTATTTACGAATTTACGCGTCGTTAATCAAGCATAATTCCTTAACAGCTTCCAAACACTTCCCAAAATTATCTGTATACTTGTGTCGCCACATAAATTCACAAAAATAAGAGTAAAAAATATCCTTTGTTCGAAAATATCTGATGTTCGACCATACACATTTCATTCCTCCAACAGGACACTTAATAATGACTACTAAGTAAACCTTCATTTACATACCAGTCAATTAATGCTTTTTTCCCTTTTATTCCAAATCCTACAGAAACTTCAAATTAATCTTACCACATTCAGGCAATTTATCGTGTAAACCACAAAATAACAACGTACTAATCCATCACAAACAAGCCCTTATCCAAAATCCGACACACACTTTCCAAATTTTTTCCCATGATTCAAATTCACCGCAACAAATTACATCATAATAGGGTTTCCATAGCATTCAACTACTCAGGTTGTCATAAATGAGACTACAACTTGGCAATAAATCAAACAACAATTCCGCGATAATACAAGGGGTACTCTAAAAGTCAACTCTAACAAACAATGTTTCTTCGTATTAATATTCATGAATTCAGTGCCTATAAGCTGAAATGCTAGCCAAACAGGTATTTTCACCACTTGATACAATTGCAAATAATTGGTAACTTTTTTTGGGGGGAAGGGGCAAAGATAAGCATAAAGTAATGTTTTTTTATATGGTATTAGAGTTTCTGGCATAGCATGAAATAAATATTTCACTGTTTAAGTAATATTTTGATTCTCATTGCTTATTAAAATTTTTTATTTCAGGTGATTTGGTAAAACATATCGATTTTGATCCAAACTGGTGCAAGCCTGATTTTGAATTATCTGAGGAATTAAAATCGTAAGTCTTCGTTTCAAGTCACCTCTTTATTTTGTATTTCATGTTGTTATTGGAAACCATCATTAAAATGATGACATGTAAAAAGTGCATTTTGTTGCATTTTTATTTAAAAAGGTGTTAACTTTATCAAAAAAGTATTTTTTTTATTGAATTTTTTATCTTCAAGAATACTGAATGTGTAATTCTACTGAGATGGTGTCAGTTTAAGGTACTTCCAACATGGGCTCCCAGTTGCCCAACAGACTATCAAGAATCTCCCCCCCCCCCGAAAGTGAAAATAATAAATACAAATTTTTCTCATCCTGACATTTTTAACACTTTTATGTCTATGTCCGAATGTTAAAAAAAGCATTTTGTGTTTGTTTTTGAGACTCCCCCCCTGTCATTTATAATGTACTGTATTATTTTTATTTGTTTTCTGTAAACAATTTATTTTTATTTAATTTTTTTCTACTCCAGAAATTGCAAAATGAATCCAAAAATGTTATCGAGCTTTGAAAACAGAAAATTCAATTAGAAGAAGCAGTCAAGAATTTCCCGAAGATATCAATTTGGAGGGGGGGTAGAGTAGACTTTAGGTACCCTTTGTATTATGGCAAAGTTGTTGTTTGATTTATTGCCAAGTTGTTGTTTCATTTATGGAAGCCTGAGTACTTGAATGTTATGGAAACCCTATTGTGACGTAATCGGGTGCATGATTCTGGAAATTTTGAATCATGGGATGTTTTGTAAGCTTTTTTGTGGTCTGTGGTAAAACCATTTAGATGGGTTTGAATGGGTTTGTAGGAAGAAAGGTTCAGATGGTCACTATGTGAAGCGTTCGATCAGAAAGAGTACCTGGTTTGAGTCATTTGAGTATGATTGATATTTTGATTTTTACGTGGCTCTGGGTGTACGAATCGAACTCGAAAGTCATGGTAAGTGAATATTTGCTTTTGGTAGCGCTTAAATGTATAACATGTTTTCCCTTTTTTATGTTATTTTATTGTTTGGTTTAAAATGTATTTTATTGAGATTATGTATTTTTTTTTGTTTGCCTATATTGTAGACTTTGGTGCTCCTTTGACTTTTTAAGTGAAAATATATTGATGTGTACAAAGTAAAGGGAGTGCTCAATGCCAGTTTCTGCAATTCTGGGATTTTTTTTTAAGTGAAAATAGGTCGACGTGTACATGGATAAAGTCAAAGGAGTGCGCAATGCCATTTTTGTGCAAAAATAAGTTGATGTATACATGGATACCGAGTTTGTTCAATTGTTTGTCTTGTTGCAAAAATCGCTGAGTCAAAGCATTGCACAAAATCAGTTTCTGCAATTCTGGGATTTTTTTTTTAGTGAAATAGGTCGACGTGTACAGGATAAAGTCAAAGGAGTGCCAAGCCATTTTTGTGCAAAAATAAGTGATACCGAGTTTGTGCAATTGTTTGTCTTGTTATTTTGGCTTCGCAAGTCAAAATAATGAGTCAAAGCATTGCACAAAATCGGTATCCATGTAATGCCAAAAATCGCCAAGTTTCGCAAAGGGGTACCCTAAACTATACTTTTACCTTTTTTTTTTTTTTTTTTTTTTTTTTTTTAAGTCAAATAGTGAGATACTCAACAGCTCAAGTTCTTCAGCTTCAGCTACATATATATGTCCAAATATGTCATGTAATGACTGTGAGATCAAAGCTACAAAAAATATTCTACCTTCTGAAGAAAATAAAAACTGTATGCATGAATTATAAGTTCAAAATCACAGCTGTAACGCAGTTGAAAGTTTAGTCTTGGGAAATTTTTAATTTTTATTATTGTGTCATCTTCATTCAATGTCTGCAATGAAGACATGCTTGACACATCACTGTAAATACAGATTAATAAAATTATTAATAAGGAGCTTTGTTCACAAGTGACAAAGAGCATTGGTGAAAAGTTTTAGAATGTTTAATGAATATTACTCACTATTTAGCTGAACGTACTATGACTTTTAGTAGAACTTTAGGTACATTATTTACACCACATATTGGGAATTTTTTAGGTCTAAGTGAACTACTTGGACAATTTGTTTTAATAAAAAGTGAATGCTTATGTGATTTTTATCTGAAGAAACATAACTTAAGTTCACTATTCCCATAAAATGTTCAGAGTAAAATAATCATTTTGTAGACAAATTCTGTTCAGGAAAATAGTATTAGCTGAGCTCAGTCAACAAATTATTTTAGTCTTATTTTAGACTGTGTACCAGATATAAGTTATGTATTATACACTGAAGTGACAAAAGTCATGGGATAGCAATATGCAAATATACAGATGGCAGTAGTATCACGTAGAAAACGTATGAATGCAAAGTGCTTTGGCAGGGCTTTCATTTGTGTTCAAGTTATTCATGTGAAGAGGCTTTGACGTGATTATGGCCGCACAAAGAGAATTAACAGACTTTGAACGCAGAATGGTAGTTGGAGCAGACGCATGGTCATTCCATTTCGGATCGTTAGGAAATTCAACATTCCGAGATCCACAGGGTCAAGAGTGTGCCGAGAGTATCTAATTTCAGTCATACATCCCACCAGGACAGCGAGTGCCGACCACCTGCACTTAACGACTGAGACCAGCGATCTGCATAGATTTGTCAATGTTCACAGACAAGCAACACTGCAGAAATCAATGTGGGACGTAGGACAGTCCGATAGGACAGTGCGGCGAAATTTTCTTCCTTGGGCTATGCCAGCAAAGACCGGCTCGATTCCCTAACTGACAGCACCATCGCCTGCAGCGACTCTTGTGGGCTTGTGAGTGTTCGTTGGCCCCTAAACCATGGAAAACCGTGGCTTGGTCAGATGATCACGATTTCAGTTGGTAAGAGCTGATGGTAGGGTTCGAGTGTGGCGCAGACCCCGAAGCCATGGACCCAAGTTGCCAACAGGCACTGTTCAAGCTGGTGGGGTTCCATAATGGTCTGGGTGTTTTTACACTGCATGGACTCGGTCCTCTGGTGCAACTGAACCGATCATTGACTGGAAATGATACCTTCAGCTACTTGGACACTTACAGGCCGTTCATGGACTTCACGTACTCAAACAAGATGGGATTTTTAGGATGACAATGCGCATGTCACCAGGCCACAATTGTCGCGATTGGTTAGAAGAAACTTCTGGACAATTCCAGCGAATGATTGACACCTAGATCAGCCGACATGAATCCCATCGAACATTTATGGGACATCATCGAGAGGTCAGTTCGTGCCCAAAACCTTGCACCTTCAACACTTTCACAATTATGGACGTCTATAGAGGCAGCATGTCTCAATATTCCTGCAGGGGACTTCCAACAACTTGTTGAGTCCATGCCACGTTGAGCTCCTGCACTTCGCTGGGCAAAAGGAGGACCGACAAAATATTAGAAGTATCCCATGACTTTTGTCACTTCAGTGTATATGTAAGTATGTATGTACGCTTTTATTTACAATATGTTTTTTAGGTTTAGAAGATATTGCAACAAAGGAACATTTTGTTAACTATAAGCGTGTTATAAAAGCTACAGATCAAAGATTATATGAAAGTGTACTTTATTTTCTGAGAAACAACAACCTAGACTTTAAAAATAAAATTGTCCCCATGTGTGAAAGCAAATCCATGTGTGTTTTGTGTACCGCATGGATGCCATTGGCTATAGTTAGTGCTTAATGACAGCGCAGAAAGTTCCCAGAAATCCACTTTTTTGGGGGGGGTACTGCACAGTACAGTGTTTTCTTTTCTGCCTCTGTGGGGGGATTGAATGCTCTGAAAAATAGAAGATAATAGTTTTCTAGTTATGATAAATGTCTCATAAGATGTGTTACATAAGGTAAATGTTATCATTGAATCTATGCAGAACACTTTTATGGAACTGCAGTTTCACTAATAAATGCCATTGATTATTTAAATGATTATTGTACAAATGATATGAAAAAGGCGCTAGTCATCAAAAGAAGTAGATGTATCATTTTTAAAAGTAAAAGAATAAGATAAAGAAGACTGTTTGAATACAAGTGCACTGACAAGGTTCTAAATGCTGGTGAACCAGAAAAAAAAAAAAAAAAAAAAAAAAAAAAATGTAAAAATCATATATTCAGTGTAATAACTGGACAGTACTATTAATTTTTTATCAGAGAGATTTGAACAATTACAGTGTTTTGTTAACATATAAGGACTTTTAAATGGCTTAGAGGTCTGCTAGATAAAGAAACTCAAAGTAGTTTGAAAAATACATTAAAGATATTAATGTATCTGTTTTCTTGACTGAACTAGATATAGCCAAAGAATTATTTCGTGACGATGTAAAACTTCCAATAGAAGCCACTAGGGTCATAAACACTAATAAGTTACAACATATGATTCTACAGTCAAATGTCATTAATTCGGACAACCATAATCCGGAATGATCTATAGTCCGGACCTCAAAGCTACAAACTTTCTGCGCATGTGTCGCGTTGACGCATGCGCATAAGACCTTTACGGCTGCGAATATCCGTGTGCGCAAAATACGTTTACGAATGTGCGTTTAATGTATAACGGACAGTATAAGCTAAGCTAAAATTATCTAATTCAGTTGCAGATTGCGTTGTTCCTTAATCTTCAAATTGGATTCGGCTTATTATTTTTTGCAGACTGTTAGAGCAATTTTATAAAAGTAAGCTTGAACTTTTGATTATGTCAGATAGAATTTCTGATATATATTTACTAATATGTAAAGGACCTACAAAGCGCAAGTATGTTTCGAAGTCCATTAAACAAAATGTGGAATTGCTGCAGAAAATGGATAAAGGCATATCCTTTGTTTATCTAAACTTTAACGTTTTTTTATCTAAACTTTGTTTATCTTTAACGCGGCGGCGCGCAATGAATTGGAAGTTGATCTGTCAGCACTATCCTTATCTTCAGGGCAGATGTTTTTATTTTATTTGGCTTATAATTCCTTACTAAATTTAGTATTTCATCTCGATGTACTCCGTCTTTGATATGATTTAATTCAAATTCCTCGTCAT